TTCCGTAATTACAAGAAACATTTCGTTTTAATGAAATTTATTTTTTTGTTGCATTATTTATGATCGCCACTGTATTATATCTAAAATTGTATTTAACCAAGCTTTTAAAGGTCTTTCTAGAAAATTATGATTATTTAACAATTAATATGATTTGATAGATAATTCCATAATGTTACAATTAATTCAATAAATTATACTGTAAAGTTAATAAAAGTGATTAAGAGCGTTCTCAAGCAACTCCCTCAATGAGAATGGCTGGTTATGTCATTGTGTTCAAGTATCACAATCAATGACAAAATTATAAACTTGAGCATGCTCTTTACCGATCTACATAATAATTTTTTTTTCTAATATTCTTCGCCATGCCTAATAAGAAATCCTCCAAAAATAAAAATCTTCCAAATCCAACTTTCAATACCATTCACTTTAATGATTTTACGAACTTGCAACTTTGTTGCAACAGCATAACCAACTATCGGCACTTAATGAAGCTGCTATACAACGACAAGAAAAAGTAAATATTTACTTTTTTTTACTTTAATATTAGTAATATTTATCGCTTGAGCATACTCTATCAATTGTAAATCATTTAAAAAAAATGGTGGTTTGTAACTTTCTGAATATTTATCGAAATAAGAAACTCTATGATACTTTTTCAGCCAATCACATTATATATTGGTCTATTAATTGAAGTGCTTGAGAACGCTCTAAATGAAATTTAATTTTATGATTAAAAACTAAAATCTTTAAACATTTATTAATAACGATAAAGCCAAAAAATAACAATTTTAAAAAATGAAAAAATAACATTATAATTTCTCCATTATTAATTTCTTTATTAGCACTCATATATTTCGAAGAGTTTAAATAGTAATAATATTATTTTATAAGCTACAACAAACTCTTTCTAAATGGACCCCTTGGGAACATAGTGAAAATTTTTAAAAAGTGTGCATTTAGAGAAGGTGTGAGTTTAAAGAGAAAATTTCTATATGATTTCTATATGCTTAAGACTGAACGAGAGCGTGCATTTAGAGAGAAACTATATAGGATGTGCCAGAAGGTGTTGTCTTCCGCATGAAAAACGACGCCTATCAATAAAGGTGTAAACTGCATCATCATATACAGCTCTTAGTCAATTGTCGTGCGGTAACCTCAACCTTGAAGTGCCAGTGCTTGAACAAATTTTTTTGCAATCTCTAGTACACATGGAACCACTTCTATCCATAAAAGACAATATGGAAGTCACCAACATTTTTGTTGGATTTTCTTAAATGATGGCCGTCAGATATAACCTGTCTGTCCAAGGGAAAAAGTTTTCAGGTCGATTGATACGTGAAATATTTTTAAAGTACAATAGGATTTGACAGGTTCTCGATCAGTCGTCTCATCCACACGGTGATGCTTCTCATCGACACATTCATGATTGCACTTTTTGAAATTTTCTTGATCCTTTTTCGAGTAAGGGTCTACAGTAAAATAAATAATAAAACTTGATCTATGTCTATAATTGAGATTGCGTGAAAATTTTCACGCTTGCTTGGATTATATCAGTTTAATGAATACCAATTTCGCTGATTAATAATTGTGGAAAGGCGCCATATTATACTCGAAATTTGCAATTTGCTTTAAAACTTAAAATACATGATGAGAGATATAACCCTTTTTTTGGACTAAAATTCGCTGTTATTAAAATTACAATAATTATGTGGAGATATTAAGTATGATATTTGAAATCATTTGATTGATATTTCCTTGCCTTTTATATGTTCTAATACACCTTTTTCGAGAGCTTCCTTCTTTCTCGTACACGTCGGGTTCTTTACAAAATCAATATGTCGATGACAACCCAGATAGTCACACAACTTGTAAATCATAAAAAACTTATTTTTCTTCTTTAATGCTTGCCGTTTTCATTAGGGCATGAAGCATTACATTCATGTGCCTTTCTTACTTCATGGACATTTTGTTGTTATTAAATGATTATCTTCGCAAAGAACCTTTGTATTTTTAACGAGAATTTCTAAACATTACTAGTTTTCTGCAAAAAACTTTCCGTAATTTTATACTTGCTATACATTTATTTCGGCATTCGTAAATACCACTCACTTTTAACGAATATGATGTGTCGTTTCCAAGAGATTTCATGCCACATCTCTTTAGCACAACGAGTTTGGCAAATTTGTTTTTCCGGAATAATCTCAAGGAACCCACAAGCATATTTTTGTGCGAGTCACGTCTTCCTTCATGACCAGAAACTGAGCGAATTTAAGTAAAATTCAGTAGTATGGCTTTAAAAAAGCAACGAGAATGACATAAGTGATCCGTTAAACAATCATGACTCGTGTCTTTCTCTTCAACGTTATGACGACTAGTCTTGAGACATCGGAATCGACAAATTTTCCAAAATAGATTTAGCTTTGTTATTACTTGTTCGAGTGCTTAACTAGTAATTTTTGATCTCGTTATTATCGAAGTAATACAAGTCCAGTATCAGGCATTAATTCAACGGACTCATCGATATCATCAAAAATCTCTGAAAGAAATGCTACATTGTCAGGAATCAAATTTCCATCGTCACATCCCTATTTTTGTTCAAATACGAAATTTATATTCATAATCATAAATGCCTGTAGAAGCTTAACTCTCTGTTTCAATACATCAAGATCAAAGGTTACGTTTTTTGGAGCTTCGTATTCAAAAAAGAGATCTCATACTTTTTGTTAATAACCATAAAATGGCATTAATATGAAATTTCTTGATTTCTAATGCACGCATTGTGATTATTCTTACTTGTAAATTACCTACTCACATACTCTGAAAGGAAAGTGTACATGAAATTTTGATTCTTAAAAGAAATATCTACAAGAAAAAAAAAAGAAAAAGAAAAACTCGAACTTTAACTTGGTCATTAACACCTAGAATAATTTGATTTAATTTAGTAATTAGCAGATTTAAATAATTTTGTTTAAAAATTCCTTGAAGTTTTCGACAAAAGCTCTAGCATGTATAACTTTACTTGCTTAAAGGTTGTATAAAATGCGGATTCATTTAATACTGACCAAGGAATAATACTCATTTTATTACGATATAATTTAAAAATGAAACTATCCGCCTCTTCCTATATTTAAAGTATTCGGGCATTTTGTCATTGAAGTTACGTTAGGATTATATTATTAATATGTCTTGTGACTCGATTTATTAGCAAATAACTTTATACATGTGCATACCCAATTAAAAATTCTTGAGAATTTAGATCTAAATTCGGCAACAATTTTCGATCGGCTTTAGCCATATCGATACAAATTCGAGCCTAAGAAATATATTATTGAGCTGGTAGTTATATATATTGATAATTTTTAAGGTTTTATGAATATTTATTTACTTGAAATGTATCCGAATCATCGAAATAATTGTTATATCTTGTAAGCGTTGAAGCATTGAAGAAATGTCCCGGCTAGCAGCTAATTGACACTTAAAAAAAATACATGATTTGACAAGGCAGCATTGTATTGCTGCACGAATGACTTTCCTTCGGAGTTTTCAATGATTTAATAATATTTGACGACACTCTCCGTCATAAACTGCTTGGCGTTTACATATGTGCTTTTTGCAAATCTGTTAATTTTTCTACAAATTCATCTAGGATCTTCTCGTGCCAGTAATCACGGAGCATTTTTCTTGCCTTTCTTGACATTTGCCAAATCGATTAAGTACTTAATAATTCCATCTAAAGGACGATTTGTTTCTGGTTCTTTGTAATCTTTTATCAATTGTATTGTTTCATGGTCAGTATTTGGGTCATCAAACGCTAATATATCATAATATTAATATATTGAATTTTCATCTGTTTCTCGCTTTGCTTTAGCAAAAATTTCTTACTTTTAATTGCTTCGAAATCTTCTCCTTTTATATATCCTATATTTTCTTTGAGCACTTCTTTTATAATAAAATTCTTCTCTTTCAGTATATTTAGTATGCTTTCGCTTCTTGCACCGCGAATTCTTGGAGGAGTAAATCTTAAGGTATAAATAAACCTTTCCTTCTATCACAAGTATCGTTAACGAATTCTACATTTCTATATACTTGTATTCCGCCACATACACTTTGGATCTTCTTCGGAAGATATCCCGTTATTAGTGTGTTCCAACCCTTTGATAATGCAGCGATAAAACTCGATACACCCTTAACAATAGGATTAGGCATGTCTTCTCTTAATAAAATAAATTGTGTATCAAGTAATTTGGCAGTTCCATAAGGTAAAAAATGTAGTGCGTTATGGAGAGGAAAAGGTAAAAGGGAGCGCGATCACATAATATTTCTTTTTTTTGTTGGAACGATAAATATTTTTGAAATTTCTTCAAAATCATTACCATACCTTTTACCATATTCCGACAATTCACCAGGAGATCATAAGATCTTACTGCCTTAGCTTTTCTAGCCAGTTCTTTGTAACATAATGAATTTGTCTTTTGAATTTAGCCATCAATTAATCTAATACCTCCATACTTTAACATTTTGTCCATGATTTTCATTTCGTTTTCTAGCAAAATGAAAAAATATTCTCTGGTTTTCAAATTATCAATTGACGGGTTTTTGCATTGGCAGTATGATGTTGAATGGATTGTTGATAATTGGTCTTTAATTTTTGTAAATCGTCGGAAATTTGGTGCATCGTTTCTTTGATGGATGCTTTTTTTATACGACGTAATAATTCTGTAAGGAGACGTACAATTATCAAGAAAACCATTCCTAGACAGAATTAAAATTTATTAATAGTAGTATTAATCAATGTATTGCGTTCAGAAGTAACTTACGAGGATGTAATAATCTTTCATGATTCAATAAATTTTCAACGTTATTTTGATTGTCAACAACATAATTTCGTCTCCAACATTTTCATTACGTTTTCATAAAGAAAAGCATTCTATAATTTTAAATTGTTAATCACGAGGAAAGAAATAATTTCATAATAATAATTTAATAATGCTTACAAGATTGGTGTAGACAATAGTAAAGATGGCATGAACATTTTTTTCCAAAATAAATTCGTAATAGAAATTCTACGTAACTAGACTGTTTCGTCCGAATATTTTAATATCATCTTGATCCAAAGGTCTTTCCTTTA